AAAAGCATGTATCATGCACCACAGAAAAGCACGGATCCAGGATGAGCACGAAAAGCACGTATCATGCACCAAAGAAAAGCACGGATCCACGATGAACACGAAAAGCACAGATCGATGATGAGCACGTGATCATGCACCAAAAAGAAGCACGGATCCATGATGAGCACGAAAAGCACGTATCCACGATGAGCACCGAGCACCAAAAGCACGGATCGACGATGAGCGCGTGATCATGCACCAAAGAAAAGCACAGATCCACGATCAGCACGTGACGAAAAGCACGTATCCAAGATGAGCACCAAAGAGCACAGTCACAGAGAGAGAGAGAGAGAGAGAGAGAGAGAGAGAGAGAGAGAGAGAGAGAGAGAGAGAGAGAGAAAAGCACATATCCAAGATCAGTTATTGTGTAGGTAGGTCGCGTCGCGTAGCGCAGGTGGCGTCGAGTAGGTAGGTCGCGTAGCGTAGGTAGGTCGCGTCGTGTAGCGTAGGTCGCGTCGAGTAGATAGGTCGCGTCGCGTAGTGTAGGTAGGTCGCGTCGCATAGCGTAGGTCGCGTCGAGTAGGTTGGTCGCCTAGCGTAGCGTGGTCGCGTCGCGTAGCGTGGTCGCGTCGCGTCACGTAGGGCCGTAGTTTTCCCGCCCGCCCGCCAACGGTCCTTTCGGACCGAACTCCCCAAGGCACCGCGGCGATCCGGGCCGTAAACGGCCCGACGAGCCGGATTCGCCCGCGATCTTAGATCGCGGGGCGATCTGGGCCGTCGGGCACGTGCAACCGCGAACGGCCTGGATCGTCGCGCAATCTTAAAGATCTAAGATCGGGGCCCAATCCGGGCCGTCGGGCCGGTAGGTCCAAAGACGGCCCGGATTTCAGAATTCTGACATTAGCGATTTTTATAAGTATAGGGATATCACTAGAATCATAGTCAGCCACCCAATCAGAATCCTACAGGTAACATCCTTTCCTTAGCGTTTTTACCCAAGCCAGCGGAATGGAGAAAACTATTTGGTCTAACATTTTAGATAAGTGGTGTGCACACCTGACAGTGAATCTGAGTTGTTCTACAGACTTCCAATTCTTTATTGACGAATCCCATATGTTTTTGATCGTCAAGACTCCCCTTTTAATCCAGGTTGACCATGGAGGTGAAGAACTATTGTAAACATACCCATTACAGTCCGTTATCCATCTATTACCAAAAAAGGGTTGTCTTAACACTTCTTCATACCTTCTTCATACCTTGATGGAAATGGTCTATCCAAAAGTGGTAGATGTCTCCAGGTTTTTATGAGAGAACCGTAAAAATTATCCGGATCCCTACGCGCTTCTTCCCGCACCCCTTCTTCATGTGAATGTAAATTCCTTCTAGGACTGGTCCAATAACGGTTTTCTACCCATGTAAGTGGATGTATTTCATCAGTTGTAGGAGGCGCCAAACGTCTAATTTGTTCAAAAGCCATGGGTTGCCAGGGAACCTCTTGTGAAAATATCAGTGATTTTATCCATTGAAGAGATAATGCCTGGCATTGTAAGGATGGGTCAAATATACCTAATCCCCCTTTAGAGTTTGGTTGAATGAGAGTAAGCCATGTCACCCTTGGAATTACTCTCTGAGTCTCATGATTGCCCCTCCAAAGAAAGGATATCCGTAAATTTTTCAATGCCTTAGATGCAGTCTTAGTGAGTGACAAGATTGCTGAATTGTACCAGATAAATGCTAATATGACATTGCTAATGATTAGTGCCCTTTCAAACAAAGAAGTACGTTGATTTTTCCATTAGGACATTTTTTCTAACGCAGGCTTTGATATCAAATCATCATTTGTAGAGGGTCTCCCTAAAGCAGTAAGGGAGACACCCAATACCCGAATGGGGGATTCTAGGGATAACCATTTCACCCCAGGTTGTTCCAGTGGTCTGACACCGTTGGAATGCATCCACCAACCCTGTGTCTTGCTACCCCAATTAACTACCATGTCAGATACTAAAGTGAATTTGTCCAAGGAAGCCTTAATTTCCACCATACTAGATATTGATGCTTCCATAATAAGAGTAAGATCGTCTGCAAACATAGAACTGATAGGAATGGCTTCCTCTGGAATCCCAGTGATTTGTAGCCGTTTTAAATTATGGTTATTTCGAAGATTTGCCCCCAAGGCTTCCATAATTATAAGGAAAAGAAAAGGCGCCAGAGAATCTCCCTGACGCACCGACCATTGTAGTTTGATTTCTGGAGAAAGCAGTCCATTAACTTGAACCCTGGTGGTAGCATTGCAATGCAGTATACTAATCCATTGACGCAGAATGGGACCAAAGTTCATTTTTGACAGACATGCATCCAAGAATCTCCAGTCCACATGATCATAGGCCTTCTCGAAATCAATAAAGACAATTGCGGCATTTTGGAGGGGTTGACGAGACAATTTGATCATTTCATTAATCAATAATATATTGTCTTGTATATGACATCCCTCTATAAATCCCCTTTGAGAAGGATGAATAATATCTGGCATAACCGGAATCATTCTATTAGTTATTACTTTAGCTAGCATCTTATACACCACAGTCAACAATGTGATTGGCCTGTAGTTTCTAATATTAGTTTTATCCCCTTTTTTATATACCCATTTTGCCCCTATATAATCTTTTTTCATTCCCACCCACCGCTCGTTGTTGCCACTGTGCTCCCTCCTTGTTTCTCCTCTCTTCTGATGGTCTGGCTCTGCATTCCCTCCTTACTTCTCTCTTTTGACACTCTGCCTCCCCGGTCCCTACCTAACCTCCTCATTGTCGACCCTATTTTCTTGCGTTCATTAGAAAATTTCCTAAACGCTTGCTCGTCTCACTTTTTTTTTTCCCCCCACTTTTCCTAACTTTTCCTTTCGAAGTTATTAGTATAGAATACAACAATCAACTATTCAGTCCTGAGCGTGTGCAGAGTGGCTTTGAAGTACATTAGTTACTCTGACAATCGTGCTTTGGTACTTGGCACGTCCCCAACTAAGTACTTGGCTGGTATTCTGGCAATCCCTGCTTAATTTGCAATACCTGTAGGTAGGAGAGGAGAGAGAAGGCAGGGGGGGGGGAGGAGAAAAAAGGAGAGAGGAGGGAGAAAGAGAAAAAGTTCTGAAAAGAAAGAGCAAGGAAGTGAAAACAGGCAAAAGAGTGAGAAGGAGATGGAAGTGGAGGGCAGAAAGGGAGAAAGAGGGAGGAGGAATAGACAAAGGAACAAAGGCAAGCAGAGAGGGTGTCCAAGAGACTTAGAACACGGAAGTAATGGGGAGAGAGAAGCCATAGAGAAAAACATAAGTGGGAGGGAGGGAGGGAGGAAGAGAGAAGAAGAAAGGATGAAAAAGTCCTAGGAAAGGAGTATGAACTGACATTGACACACCTGAAGAGCCTCAAGGAATTCTTGTTCCATCTCTCCTAGCGACTTCTGCTCATCTTTGTTCGTTATGTCGCAATATGGCAATATTTTTGCATCCTCCACGCCATTCTCCACTGCTTTATTATCTGCAATAAACAATGGACTCCCCCGCCCCCCGTCCCAGAAACGCAAAAACAAATGGAAAAAAAACAAAAACAAAGACATTGAAGATGACAAGGACCAAATGCAGAGCACAAGCAAGCAGATCTCCAGTGAACACTACAGACACATTTCATGAGTTGTCCTCCCAAAGGGGGGGGGGAAGGTCAGATAGGGTTATTTTTCGAAAAAGGAGGGGGGGGGGGAATGCAAAAGGACCTCTCTCTCTGCAAATATGAATCTGAAAAGAAAGTGACTCTTTTCCTCAAAAAAAAAAGAAAAAAAAAAAAAAAAAAAAAAAAAAAAAAAAACGCTTTCGAAATACATATGTCCAACCTGGACAGGTTGACAGCACATCAGGACCTCTCTACACGTTTATGCCCAGGTGCAAAGCACCTCACAAATTGTCTTATCCAATTCTCGATTGCGTCATCCACCTCTCTAAAACCAGACTTGTCTCACAATGCCTGTAGCAGCAAATACAGGCAACAACAAGACGTTAAGGTCCAAGATTGGGTAGTATGGTTAGTTAGGGTCCAAGATTGGGTAGTATTGGGTTGATGAAATAGCGCTGGGTTGATGTATCGACTTGATCGATCAGCTCCGCTTCAACTTGATCGATCAGCTTTGGGTTCAGCTTGGGGTTTATTCGTTGGCTTCGAGTCGACCCTTTGGGTTTGACCGTTTGGGTTTGACCCGTTGCAAAGCTTTGGGCTTGATTCAATAGCTTCGGATTCATGTATTATTAGTGTCAAGTTCGTAACCGTTGTCCTTCGGGACATCCGTTAAAAATTGGAACGATACAGAGAAAGAAGATTTACATGGCCCCTGCGCAAGGATGACACTAATAAATCGACCTCCTTTTAAAGGTGAACCATAAATCGAACAAAGGGGGGTCTAACCCTTTGCCCTTTGCAGACGACTTCTACAGGGAACGAGAAGTTGTAAGCAGTAGAGTGTGGCCTTGTCGTCAGTGACACGATCTGTTGAGACTCGGCCTTTTGTTCCAATGTGCTTGCCGAAAAAGCGAGCCGTGTAAAGCTACCATGCGTGGGACTATGACTGAACGTCTCTAAGGGCATGCTCACACAAACACTTTTCTAAATGTATCTGATTGCATTTACAGCCACACTCAGTTGAATCTGACAGCAATTGCGGCCACAACTTAGAGCAAAGTCTTCCCCCGAACATAACGCACCCTCATTTGGCCTGTACCGGATAGGAAAGATGACTTCTATACATTCATTATCAGGGTGCGTTATGTTCGGGGGAAGACGATAGTGTGAGTACTATGCCCTAATTCAGAATCTGAGCTTGCAGCGAATGCAATTGGGGGGGGGGAAAAAGAAAAAAAAGGGGTTAGCCTCCAGCATAGTCAGGTAGATTCAAGTTGATCGATTACCTTCAGGTTGGTAGATTTTTTTTTTTTTTATTTTTTTTTGCAGATGGAGAAAAAAATTGACACGTGTGTGTGTGACGAAGCACTTTCTGTAGCGCGCCACTTTCTGCGTGATTGCAATGAGGGGTCCTAAGCTGGGAAGGATGGGCCAATTACGGGAGATTGGGATGGATGGGAAACTGCATCAGTACCCTCGCTTCTTCATCTTTTGCGTCGATTCCTTTTCGGATGGCTGAGTTTGGAGTTGGGTGAGTCCCGGGATGGGCGATTGATTGGTCGGGCGGATGGCTAGCGCGCCGCCAAGCGCGCGAATAATAAATGTTGACGTCGTTTCTTTTGTTTCGATTTCGGAACTTTTTAGGCGCGGACATCGCGCGGGAATTTAGCTTCGTTCTTTTTGAAATTTCCTTTTCGAATTATTTTTCGAATCTTGTCGAGCCCCGATGGCTCTCGGAATTTCGGACTTTCTTTCCGGAACTTGTGCTTTTTGCTTTTTCGCATTAGATAGGAATTTAGAAATTTTGTAATTAGGACTTTCTTTTGCCGCGCGGCGCCTTTTGCTTACGCGCTTCTTTATGCGACTGCAACGGAATTTTTATTAGTCGGCGCCTTTAATCGGGTGTGTAACTGTAATTTTGGATTGGCGCCACTGTAACTGTATCTTTCTTCTTGTGCTTCGTCTTTTCCCGCCCCTCTTCTCTTTCTTTTGCTGCGTTTTTGGTAGCCACGGTCTGCATGATCGGATCAATGCGTGGAGAGCGGCTACGTCCCCCACGCCGCGTTCTGGCCATGCAGGCGTAGGCAATCCCTCCCCCTTCTCTCCTTCTAAGTCTTTGTAATTCCGTGTTCCTCGCGCATGCATGCACGCTATAAATTTCGGTTGCGCAATTAGTTAGCTCTCTTAACCAGTTGTTGGAAGATCGGGGTTGCGCGATCAGAGAGGGTCGACACACGAGCGAAGTAAGAGGTGAGTAGAGCAGGAGTCGGGCGACCCAACGAGTTGGTGCCAAACGCGCGGGGTTGACGCGGGCCACGACGGACTGTGGGCGCGGGCGAACATGACGGGTGCGGGAGGACTAAGCGGGGTGACGGCTTCGTGGGTTGGTGCGAGACGACGGACTGTCCGCATCGGAGAGAGAGAGAGAGAGGAAGAGGGAGTTGAGGTTGATGGACGCGGATTTGATGTTTCTTTTATCTTTTCTCCCTCCTGTCTCGTGTATATAAATTTTGATTTCGGCTCCGGGTGATTCGCCCGTTTCTGTTTTTCGGAATCTGGATTTGGTTTTTCGCTCACCCTTGTCCTCGCGATTTCCCATCTCGGATATGGTGTATGAATGTATGAATGAATGAATGGATGTCATGTTCGGTTGCTTGTCTTTCTACCGGATCCTTGCCTTTGTCTTTGTTTACTGCCTTTGATGCACTCATGAGTAGGATAGGAATTTTGTGCAATCGTTAATCCTGTTCTCGTTTTTGCTTATCTTGTGATTGAGCTGTTGTGGTTGTTGCATCTTGCATCCTCGAAAATTACGGAGTGATTAGACAATCAAATGTCTGGCCCAGCGAACGCCATGCGAGGACGCGTGTAATCACGACCTGATCTGCGCCTTTACACGTGTCCCCGTGCGTCGATTCGTCAATTGCAGGGGTACTGTATGATTGGATACAGCCATCCCGTGCGAACACGCGTAAGCGCGACTCGATTCGCACAGCCTGCACGTGCTCGCACGCAGTGATCACAATCGGCCCAGACCCGCCTTTAGGCATCTCACCGCTCTGCGATGACATAATGACACACTCCGAGAGTTCAGAGTCGTTGTTGTACGACCCAGACTATTTCACCCCTTGGATAGAGGAAAGCCTCTGACAGAGATACCCTTGCCTAACAGAGAATTGACTGTGTCCTAGGGAGTTTCACTGCGCCACCACTAGTGACCCCCGGTGCTCTGATCTCCCCACTCAGGACCACACCCACTACTTCACCCACCCCGGATTTGTCGTTATCTCCACCAGCTTCCCTCCCTTCCGTCTTCTTCTTTCGTATCACCGACTCAGCGCCGTCCCATGGAAGGCCATAGCCCCATACTGGCCCCGTACGCCTTGCGGAAATTGCCGACGACGTAGCGACCAGAGAGCTCCGGAATCCCGAAGGCCTAACCCGAACGCGCGACGACCGGCGCCACGTGGCAACTTCCGACGGCCTGACTCATCGGAACCTCACCCACCCCGGAGGGACCTTCCAGCGAACCGCCGTCCTCAAAACCGATGGATCGCACGACCTTGAATGACCCACGCATGCCATCTGCCTTATGACCAGAGGTGGTCCGCCCTCTCCGCCAAATTGCACTCGTGCCCCCGAAAAACTCTGCCAAAGGAGATCTCAGTTCTGACCTGGGACTCCACCCCCACTTTCCCAAAAATCCTTGGCACACCCCTTTTTGCACTTCCAGGCCCACATCCTACTCCGATCAGGAAGTCGCGATGGGCGTGAGGTTGGGGCGTCACATGTGGACGTTCATGTCCAAGACTCCGTACGTTCGTAGCAGAAGGCTGATTGATCGATGATGTCACCCTGCATTTACTCCGACCAGGCACGTAAGAGACCCCGAGGTTTTTGTCCTTCTCATCGCAAACCTTCGCCAAATTCTGGGCCCGAATACCGCATGACACTTCCCCCCCCCTCTCTTAAATTGTAACCCTCATACCTCTGAAGTCCCAGGTACCGGTGTCGGGCGGCTTAAGCCTATCGTCCCCATTTACTTCCTGTGAAAAGGCGAGACCTAAGGACTAAAATTCAATTTTTGAGTGCGTTCGATGGGATTGAAGTTCGTGATTGGAGCCGAGAAAGTGAGATTTCTTATTCGAAGGTGGAATCACAGAATGTCCGGGCTGGCATAACGAAGGTGAGACACATAACTAAACGAGGATGCTCGACGACTCAGTGAAACGTTGTCAAGGGAAACGTGAAAAGGAGTAATTGGGACTCACTCGCATTCGATTCGGAAAAAAGGTTATGCTTGCCCATGGGTGTGCGGGCACGGATCGAAGTGGACCGAGGAAAAACGTTGCGCTAGAGACTCGACCGAGGAAAGGAGGAAAGACCGCTATGAGAAGGGAAACAGGGAATATCAGTGTTCGGATGACAATTGCGGTAGGACGATTGACGGAGCTTCCAAATTGGTTGAGTGTCGGGCCGTTAGTAGGTTGGACTCGTTTGCAAGTGTGAAACGAAGAGGGCTGGGGCTTATTCGAAAACCAGAGGGAAATACTCGAGGCCCGGAGTAGCTTCGGTACCAGGCCGCTGCGAGTTCCCGACAACAGGGCCTGTTTCGTTGCACTCATGCCTGTTCGGATGACGGAGTAGGCTCGGGCATTGACTCGGGCCTAGGCCCCATACCGCAATCTTCGGGACAGCGCGCCCGACTCTCGGTGGACCGGTGGCTGCTGTTGCTGGCCCAGCAAAGTACTTAAGTTGGACTGGGCCCGTTCTTGGGGGACTTTTGGCCGGGGGGCTGTGCACAAGAAGGGCGCACTGGGCTGGCACAAGGGGGTGTGCTGGTCCCTTGGCGTATCAGTCCCTGATCTGGG